CCAATCATCCCCCCAAAGCCTTGAACTTGGCAAGAGAAGCTCTTGAGGCTGGGCTTCCTCCATCAGACCCACAGTCCAGCAGCAGGCCCAGACGGGAGTTTTTCCAGTCTGCTAGGACTTGCCACGGCTTGGTCTCTGCTGGCACTGCCTGTGGAACCCGGGTTGCCCACTAACCATGATGAGTCATGGGAGGAGGCCTTCAGTGGAGGAAAGTTTAATGGGACAGTAAAGGACCCTGTGCTCCTGGACACTCCCTTGTGGCTGGGGTGGGGGAGCGAGGTCAGAGGGATGTTTGCTTGGGCCCCATCCCTTCTCCACCCCTGCCTGGGCACATTCCAGCTCCTCAGGCAGTGGCCTTCGATCGGCCTGCTTCTGGGTTGTGCAGCCACCACCACCACCACCGTCATGGCACGTGTGCTGCCCTCCGAGTGTGTGTATGTGTGTGAGTGTATGTATGTATGAGTGTGTAGGTATGAGTGTGTGAATGTATATGAAATTGTGTGTGTGTATGGGAATGTGTTGTGTGTAATATGTGACTGTATATGGGAAGGCATACGTGTAAGAGTATGTGGGCAGAGGTGTGAGCATGTATGTGTGTGTATATATGAGATTGTATGTGTATGTGAGAATATGTTGTGTGTAAGATGTGACTGTATATGGGAAGGTATGTACATAAAAGCATGTGGGCAGATGTGTGTATGTGTCTGCGTGTGCATATATACATGTATGTATGCATGTGAGTGTGCCATTTCAGAACAACCGAGCAGAGTGGTATGGAGAGCAGGAGCTCCTTCCAGGTGCACACCCAGATACTTCTGCTTGCTGCTAACCGCTGAGCCTTCCCAGCCCTGCCATTTATGACCCCTGGGACACAGGACAAGGCCCTTCCCTCTGTGGGTTTGTATGATGGGGGGCAGGGGCAGAGGATCTCTAAGCTCAGAACCCTGCAGGTCTCAGGAGGAGCCAGCTCCTGGTTTTTATTACGAGATTTCGCTGGCAAAACAAGGAGGACCACAGCCTCCCGTCCAGCCTCCTTTCCTCCGAAGGTCTTTCTTTGGTCTGTGCTTTGTATTCTCTTCGATATGGACCCATTGTCTCCTGGACAGGCACGAAGCTTCTGCAGGGCAAGGTTGGATTGCTTTTGATCTTGAAGTCTCTAGGACCTTGGGTGGTGCCTGGCACACGGTAGATGCTTGACCAATGGGGGCTGATTCATGGTCGGCAGAAGTGGCTTCTGTTCTAGACATGGTTCTTGCTGAGAGACCCTGGGCAGGTCACCGACCCTCTCTGTGTCTCAAATTCCTCATCTGTAAAATGGGAATGATAATATCTGTCATTCTTCTCTTAAGCAGCAGTTTGGAGGCTCAAGTCAGATAATGTATGTAAAACACATTGCAGACTTTTGTTTTTATTCAGTTGTGTCTGACTCTCTGTGATCCCATTGGGGGTTTTCTTGGCAGAGACGTTGGAGTGGTTTGCCATTTTCTTCTCCAGCTCATTTTACACATGAAGAAACTGAGGCAAACTGGTTAAGCAACTTGTCAGAGATACTGGAGTGGTTTGTCACTCCCTTCTCCAGCTCATTTTTTTTTACAGGTGAGTAAACTGAGGCAAACAGGGTGAAGTGACTTGCCCAGGGTCACATAGCTAGTAAGTGTCTCAGGCCAGATTTGAACTCAGGGGGGCAGCAAGGTGGCACAGTGGATAGAGCGCCGGCCCTGAAGTCAGGAGGACCTGAGTTCAAATCTGGCCTCAGACCAAACACTTGACACTTACTAGCTGTGTGACTCTGGGCAAGTCACTTAACCCCAACTGCCTAAAAGAAAAAACAAACAAACCAGATTTGAACCCGGCAAGATGAGTCTTCTGCCCTGCGCTCTATACACTGTGGTGCCACCTTGCTGCCCATTACAAACTTTAAAGGGTTATAAAAATGCCAGTTCTCATGACAGGTGCTTGACATTGTATATTATGTGATATGGTATTATGCGCTGCATACTGCTTCATAGGATGTATACCACGGCAGGGAGGCAGGATGGCAAAGAGTGTCACGAGAAACCTGAGTTCGAATGCTGCCTCTGGCCCTTACAGGCAGGGTGTATCTCAGAACTTCAGTATTCACCTCTGTCAAATGGGACTAGGACTACTGGCGTCCCCTGCACCAGAGGGCTGCTGCCAAGACGGAATGAGATGATGTGTTTAAAGAATTCTAGGCATCAGCTGTTATTCTAAATAGTCTCCTGTGCCTCACTCACCAGAATAATAAGAATCCACAAGAATACAGCATGTCAAGTGTGTTTCCTCATGACAGTCCTTTGAAGGAGCTTGTGCAGCCCTTATCTGAACCCTTTTCAACAAGGAAGAAACCATTGCCCGAGACCACGGAGCTGCCCAGTGGCAGGATTAGAACTCAAGCCCAGGTCTCCTGACTCTGCTTGCCTTTCGAAGAGGCCGCTAGAGCCACCATTGAGGGAACAAAATCAGTCAGCAAACAATTATTTATTGAGCAATTGCTGTATACAAAGGCCTGCACTGAGTCCTGACCCTGACCAGGATCCAGTTTAGATAAGACAAGGAAGGGCCCCTGTGCTTCTGGAGTGGATGGACAAGAACATGCAGCTTTGGAATCAGAGTCGGAGGTTCGAGGCCCAGCCCCTCTCTGGGCCTCACCTTCTCCTTATGTAAAATGAAATGGCTGCACTAGTGAACTTGGAGACGCCTTCCAGCTCTGTGTTTGCTCCTGGGGCCTTCATTGCCACCCAGTTCCTTGGGCTGGTTGCTCTGGGGCCCCTGGAATAAAATATGATGAAGAGACTGGGCAGGACCTGAAAGAAGATGGTCAGGAGGGTGGGTGGGGGGTGCAGACAAGGACTCTGCCTGCGGCTTCTCCTACTCCCCTCCCACAGCACTTTTGGAGGTCACTAAGTCTGATCTCCTCAGGAGGAGCCTGGGCCCCAGACAGGGGTAAGTGACTGCCCCAAAGTCTCACGTAGCAGAGCTGGGATGCTCATCTGGGTTTTCTGATTCAGATCCAAGGCTATTTCTACAACATAAATGTGGCCCAACCTGGACCTCTCAGATCTGGTTTGAAGTGCTCAGAGGCTTCAGAATGACTGAGAGAATGGATGGTGACTGATAAGCAAACCTGGCCAGAAAGAAGGCTCTTTCTGGGGGTGGCTGAGGGCCAGTGATGATACAGCAATTATGCTCGTGACGGCCTGGACCATGCTGCTGCTGCAGGAGTACAGTATCCTCCCCTTCCTCCTCCGTGGACTCCAGGCGACTTAAAATATAGCAATGGCTCACTTGTAGGCTTATGGGAAGGGTCCTAGAGATCATTTAGTCTCACCCCCTCATTTCACAGAGGAGAACGAAGATCTGGGGAAGGGAAGGGACATGGCCAGGGTTACACAGCCAGTTTGGTGGCCATGGAGATCAGAACCCGTGCAGAAGGGCAGGATCTGCCTTTTCTGTGGCCTCAGAGTGCTTTAGGACCCAAACTCTCTCAGGTAGAATGTGATTGTTTTCATTTTTCTTTGAAAAACATTTTTTATTTGGTCCTTAATAAATGCTTGTTGACTTTTTTTTGGCTATCCCCCCTTTTTTATATTTAATTATTTTTAGTTTTCAACATTCACTTCCATAAGATTTTGAGTTTTAAATTTTTTCCCCCTCCCCCAGAAGGTGTACAATCTGATATAGGCTCTACATAGGTATTCATGTTAAGCATGTTTTCCCATTAGTCATGATATAAAGAACAATTAGAACTAATGGGAGGAACCACAAGAATGAAGCAATAAGACAAAACAACAAAGGAAAAAGAGAGCAAATAGTCTGCTTCCATCGGCATTCAGACTCCATAGTTCTTTCTCTGGGTGTGGATGGCAATTTCCATGGCGAATCTTTTGGAGTTGTCTTAGATTCTTGCTTTGCTGTGAAGAGCCAAATCTATCAAGGTCAGCCATCGCACAGTGGGGCTGTTACTGGGTACAGCGTTCTCCTGGTTCTGCTCATTTCACTCTGCGTCAGTTCATGGGAGCCTTTCCAAGTTTGAATGCTTGTTGACTTGTGGACCAAGAACTGAAGGCCCCCATGCCTGAGGCAGTGAATTTAAGGTCAGCTCAGGCTTGAGCTTGGCTTTGCCATCTCTTGCGATCTTGGGCGTGACATATGCCCTCTCTGAACCTCAGTTTATTTATTTGTAAAATGAAGGATCTGGATGAAACAGAATCCAAGGTTGGTTCCAGTGTGCTCTAGGGAGCCCCAGATTTATCATTAGTAGTCCTGGGTTAAAGCACCCTCTCTGTCCTTTACTGGCTGCAGGCATGTTACTGAATTTCTTTGGGCCTCAACTACAAAAAAGTGAAAATAATCCGTGTGCTGGCTGTGAACACCTTTGGGTGTCATGATTATTCCCCTTTCCAGGCCTCAGTTTCCCCGTTTATAAAATGAACAGGATGGTCTGGATGGGCTGCAAGGCTCACATGGCTCTACGCCCCCTCTTTCTCCCCCTTCCTCTTCCGCTTGGCCTGCTGGGAGTTGTAGTTCAGCGCGACAGTAAGGCTAAGCGATCTGGTTACATGGCGTATGTATCGCCACTAGAGTGGATGCCCCTGGAGGACCCGGCCTGCTTCGTTTTTATCTTTGCAGCAGCAGCCCCTCCCCGACACAGGCCTGGACCCTCGTACGTGCTGGTTTGGACACGAGGCCCCGACAGGCGGGCCATCCGCTGAGCTCCCGCGTCGCCGCTTGGCCTCCTGGGAGTTATGGTTCCATGGAAAGCTGAGAGCCCGAGAGCCGAGCTTTCCTTCTAGGCCTCCGCGCTTTCGCATGGACTGCTGGGAGTTGTGGTTTCTTGGGAGCTCCAGAACCTGAATGGGCGCGAGAGTGGGACTACGTTTCCCAGGAGGCTGCGGAGGGCGGGGCCCGCGGCCCCGCCCCTGGACGCCGGCCCGGCCCGGGTGCGCGTGCGCAGCCCGTTTCTCCTGGCACCCGAGTGCCCGCCCGTTTCCCGCCCAGCTCCGCCTGCCCGCCGTTCGCCCGCCCGCCATCAGGCCCGGCCCGGCCCGCCCTCCCCCTGCCGTCCGGGCTGATGAGGAGGCGGCTCCATGTTTTCTTTTCTGCGAGCGGCGGCGGCCTCGACAGAAAGCGGGGAGAACACAGGTAACCCCGCGCCCCCCGAGCCTCGGGTCCTTCCCCCCCTCAGTGTCCGCCCCCGTAAAGCGAGGCCACAGGATGAGTGGTCTTGGGGGTCCCTGCTCCTCGCTGCCCCTCAGCTTCTCTGCCCATGAAGGGCGGGGTTTAGGCCGGGTGGTCTCCAGGCCCTCCCCTCCCCAGCCTCAGTTTTCCCATCTGTATAATGACGTCGTTAGACCAGGTGCTCCCGTTAGATCCCTCCCCTTCCTTGGGCCTCAGTTTCCCTGTCAGCAAAAAGAGAGTTACATGGCTCCTTCCCCATCTCGGGCCTCAGTTTACCTATTTGTTGAAAAGAGGTACGACTAGTTGATCTTTAGGGGCCCTCTCTCTCTTTGGGGCTCAGTCTCCCCCTGTGTAAAGTGTGTAAAGTTTCCTGCGTGGCTCCTCCTTCCTTTGCTGTGGTGATGGGCCGTGTGCGTGGGTGGGATCTTTTTTGCCATCTCAGTAGGTTCCTTCTGTCAACCTCCTCCTTGTCCCTGTGTGTTCCTGTTTGTGCCCCAGAGCAGTGTGGGGGAAGGGGCATCCTTCCCTTGTGCTCCCTTCCCAGAGCAGTGGGGGCATCCTTCCCTTGTGCCCCCTGCCCAGAGCCCTAGGGGAGGGGGCATCTTTCCCCTGTGTTCCATGCCCAGAGCAGTGTGGGGCAAGGGGCATCCTTCCCCTGTGCTCCCTTCCCAGAGCAATGGGGTAAGGGATCCCTCCCCTGTGCCCCCTGCCCGGAGCAGTGGGGGAAGGGGCATTCTTCCCCTGTGCCCCCTGCCAAGAGCATTGGGGGGCATCCTTCCCTTGTGCCCCCTGCCCAGAGCCCTAGGGGAGGGGGCATCTTTCCCCTGTGCTCCCTGCCCAGAGCAGTGTGGGGGAAGGGGCCCCTGCCCTGTGCCTCCTGCCTGGTGACCAGGAGACAGCCCTCTTTGGGGCGGTTGGAGTTGGGGTTTCCTGTCTAAGCTTGATTTCTGCCAATCCTGTTTGCCCCACCCTTTTGGGCACCACAAGTGCAGTGGTGAGTGACCCCACCACGCGGTGATCCCCTTTAAAGGTCCTCCTTCCTTTGCAGACATTTCCACCCCATTGGACTAGAAAGTTTGGCTATATTAGGGTGGAAAGATGGAGGAGGGGGTACACTGAAGGCTCCAGGCTAGTCATTACAGGCATAACTCATCTCAGGGAAGAGGGCAGGGTTTGGAATCCAGGCCCTTCAAAAACCAGACTCTGCCATCCGGTACCTACCTGTGTGTCACCTTGGGCAAGGCTCCCCTTCCCCCTCAGGGCCCCCTCTCATCTCAGCCATGGTCCTGCCACGTGGAGTCTGCTAACTGTTACTCAACTTTTATTAAATCTGCCCTGGGAGCGGTGAAACTTAAATTATTTTTAACCTGGATCTCTCTGCCTCAAGGGATTGAACCAAAAGTGTGGTAGGGAATTTGGTGTTCTATCAGGTTTTTCTTACATGACCGAAAGAATATGAACTTCACTTGGAGAAAATTTTCAAAAGATTTTGAGTGCGTGTTTCCTTTTTTTGAAAAGAGAGCTCAAGGGAATCATAAAAGTACTAATCCCCGCCCCCCCCAATTTTGAATGTAACATGTAGAAGCTTCCACAGGTTCCATTTGTGAATGTTCTAGACTCAAAAGTGAGGAGCCTGAGTGGGAAAACTTGTCTAAAGCCAACAAATTTCAGGTCGCTCTGGTCTGAGGAGTTGTATGGAAACTGCAGTAGAAAGGAGAGGCAATGGCTAAGTGGGGCCTGGGCAGGCCTCCTGCTTCCACTGGGAGAGGCCTTTTTTACGGAGTCCCTTTTAATGGATGAAATAATGAAAGGAAGAACTGTGGTTTTTAAAATCTGTTTCAGAATTTTAGCTATGTTCCCAGTCTGCGATTTTAGAGAGTTATCTGAGGCACCAAGAGGTTAAGTCATTTGCCCAGGGTCTCAGGTTGGCTATCTGTAATAGGTGAGATTTTTTTTTCTCTTTTTGGTGAGGCAATTGGGGTTAAGTGACTTGCCCAGAGTCACACAGCTAGTAAGTGTCAAGTGTCTGAGGCCAGATTTGAACTCAGGTCCTCCTGACTCCAAGGCTGGAGCTTTATCCACTGTGCCATCTAGCTGCCCCTGTAGTAGGTGAGATTTGAACCCACATCTTCCTGACTCCAAGTGCCACATTGCCTTTTCTTTCAAATATATGATAATGGGGAAAAAAAAGTCCCAAAAGGACAAACTATAGTATAGTATAGGATAGTGGTGTCAGACTCCAGGGGAAAGGGGGCTACCATCTGGCTGCATATTGACTTAGCAAGCCACATATTAACATAATTTGTTTTATTGTATTTTTATTTATTTTGTTAAATATTTCCCAGTTACATTTTGTTCTGGTTTGGCTGCTGTGCCTCAGGCTCAGTCCTTGTGTTTGATGCCTCTGCTGTTGTGGGGTAGATATGTAGTATAGCCTTGAAGAGCTGGGTTCAAGTCCTGACTCTGACACATCTTGGCTGTATGACCTTATCTCATTGCTCTAGACAGGGGTGGGGAACTTGCTTCCTGGAAGCCACATGTGGCCTTTTGACTGAGTCCAAGTTTTACAGAACAGATCCTTTTATTAAGAGGATTTGTTTTGTGAAGTTTGGATTCAGTCAGAGGGCCGCACTTGAGGACCTAGGGGGCAAAATGTGGCCTCCAGGCCGCAGGTTCCCTACCCCTGCTTTAGGAAGCTCTTCAAGACTCTTCAGTTACAGAGAAGGAGCTAACTGTGTTGGTCGAGAGAGTGTTCTCATTTGGGAGGGCTTTACTCCAGTGAAATCACAAGTTCAGTCTTTCTCCCTTACAATTCCAGGATTGTTTCCACGCTAACACATTGTTTCATGACACCGGTTCTGTCCTATGACAGGTGTCTCTCAGAGTTCCTGTTTTTAACATGACTGCTTAGGAAAGGAAACATAACCTCACTTGGCATTTCTTTTCATGATCGTTTTCCTATGTGACATTGTAAACTCATCAAACCAAGAGAGAAAGCACTTTGTAAAGCATTCTATCAGTGTTAGCTGTTATTATTTTAGAAGAATTAGACCATGGCAAGTACTTGATTTTTTAAAAAGTCAATAAAAATAAGGGGAAATAGAGATTGTGTTGATTAGAAAAGCAACTTACCAAGCAATAGTTTAAATACTTTTTAGACTAGAGAGAGCACCAGCTGTGGAGTCAGAGGACTTGACAAATTATGCAGCCTCCCTGGGTCTCAGTTTCCTCATCTGTAAAATAATGGGGTTGGACTAAGTGACTTCTTTTTTTTTTCCTTTTTGATGAGGCAGTCCAGGTTAAATGACTTGCTCAGGGTCACACAGCTAGTAAGTGTCAAGTGTCTGAGGCTGGATTTGAACTCAGGTCCTCCTGACTCCAAGGCTGGAGCTCTATGTACTGTGCCACCTAGCTGCCCCCAGGTGACTTCTGAGGTTCCTTCCAGCTCTAGAGTGAGGATCCCATTTTAAAAACATTGTATACTGGTGGAAGCCTCATGCTTTGGGTTTTCTCTTTGAAGGAAAGGGTGATGGGTGATACAAAAAAATCGAACATTGCTACACTTTTTCAGGAGGCTCATCATAGACTTTCTAGAAACCATAGGTCAGAGGGAGTGATTTGCTGCTTCTCACAGTGGTACAGAGCATATGTATTATGGCAGGTGTGTAGGTAAAGTATTTATATCCTTTATGGGATGTTTTTAAAGTGTTCTAAATCATTTTTTTTTTGTGAGGGCAGTTGGGGTTAAGTGACTTGCCCAGGGTCACACAGCTAACGAGTGTTATGTGTCTGAGGCCGGATTTGAACTCAGGTCTTCGTGACTTCAGGGCTGGTGCTCTATCCACTGGGCCACCTAGCTGCCCCTAAATCATTCTTAAAGTGTTCAGTCTACTCTCATTTTAACAAACTATCTTTTTTTTTTTTTTAACAAACTTATCTTCTGAAAACAAATTTCAAGCTGTGATTTCAGAGCATTTAGGGGACTTTGTAGGCTCCCATAGTCACTGTGTCAGCAGTGCACTTGAACCCAGCTCATCTGTCTCAAGGCAGCTCTCCTGCCCCTAATCGAGGCTGCTTCTTGGGCTCCGTTTGAAAACATTTCTTTGAAATCTAAGGATACCTTCCGGAAGTTAAGGAAAGAGCTTCTGACCTTTTCAGTTTGTTAGATGCTAATATATTAATGGAGGTCCTACCATCAGCACACAGTAGTCAGTTTGAAACTTGGAAGGGTCTACGTTTTGTGATGTGCTTTATAAATTCTAGGGATCACAGGATGAGAACAGGAAGGACCTTCCGAACTTGTGTCTGGTTCCATCCTTTTACAGAGGAAGAAACCTAAACCTGGAGACTTGGCCAAGGTAACGCTTTAGATAATTAGGAGCAGAGGGTGGAGCCGAGGTCTTTCTCTAGGTCTCTTGTTCTTCCGCTCAGTGAGCAAGCATTTAATAACGCCTGTGATGTGCCAGGCGCTGTGCTGGTCTCAGCAGCAGCTGTGATTGGAGATGGTGCCACTCCATGTCAATTTCTGGGTTACCAAAGCATTTCCAAAATATTAGTTTTGTTGCAGTTGTCATTCAGATGCTTGTGAAATGACAGGGATTCAGTTGTCTCTGGAGAAGGTTCTCAGATCTGTGTCTATAGCTCAAGACTTTCCTGAGCTCTAATCTGGTCTGACCTGCTGCATGTTCCGTCGGCACTGCCGACCCAGCCTGTCCAGAACAGAACTCCTTAGCCCTCGCCTCTCCTCTCTCCCAGACACTTTCCCCTTGCAGCCTTCTCTGTGTTCATGTCAAGGCCAGATGATTCTCTAGAGAGCCAGTCTGATGACAGCTCTCATGGCTTCCACCTCTAAAACATCCCTATTTTGGTTCCGGTCCTCATCTCCTCGGGTCTCTGCCTTGGTTTTCTTTCCGAGTCAATCCATCCTCTCTAGGGCTGCCAACCTGATTTTTTTTTTTTGCTTTTTGGTGAGACAAATCAGGGTTAAGTGACTTGCCCAGGGTCACACAGCTAGTAATTATGTGCCTGAGGCCAGATTTGAACTCGGGTACTGCTGAATCCAGGGCCGGTGCTCTATCCACTGCGCCACCTACAACCTGATTTTCTTAAAGCACATGTTTGACTGCATCCCCGGTACTCTGTATTTTGAGGAACAAACTCGTTTGTTTGATGTCTGAAATCCTTCCCAGCTGGCTTTGGCTAGGCTTCTTATTGGTTACTCCTCTTTGTAAACTTCATGGTGCAGCCAAGCCTCCGTCTTTCACTTGTCGTACTCCATTTCTTGCCGTTCCCCCATGCCTGGAACGTACTCCATTCTCACCTTTTCCTTTTGGGATTAGAATGGGAGCTCTCAGAGGGCCGAGTCTGTTCTCTGTATCCTCAGTGCTTTGCGCACAATAAGGACTCAGTGAATGCTTTTCCATTCCATTTCCTTGCCTTTGCTTGCCCAGGCCCTGGCAGCCCGGTGGGCTGGCCCTCATTAGACCTGGAGCTTTCCTTTTGTGATCACTGAAACATTCCTGTAAGAAAAGAAAGTGCTTTAGGTGTCACTGGTTGCTCTGCCTCTGGGAATCTCTCTTGTTTATTGTATGACAGCCCAAGAGTCACTATCTACACAGCCTTTCCGGACCACCGGAGCTGCTCTGTCGGCCTTCAGCCAAGTACCTCGCATTCATGTCTATGTGTGTACCTCTCCTTGATAGAATGTGAGCATCTTGAAGACAAGAACGGGCTTCATTTCTTTCTTTGTTGTTTTTCACAACTGAAATACAACAAGACGAAATTTATGCCAAGTAGGACAGTGTGCAACAGAGTGATGGAGATGATACTGATAATTCTTATGTCTGTGGCACTTTAAAGTTTACAAAGCACTTTCCTTCGGACAACCTTATGAGGTAGGGAGTGCAGGAATTTCCCCCATTTTTACAGGTGAGGAAACTGAGATTTAGAATAGCTACGTGACTTCCTTTTTAAAAATAAGCTTATTGTTTTTACTTTTCAGGTAACAGATATTTAAAAAATTAACTGTATCTCCTACTGCCCCACCCCACATTGAGCGAATTAAAAAACAAAACATCATAACAAAACTGAACAAAATTTCTTCAACACGTCTCCGTAGTTAGACAGACAAGTTCCCACGTTAGCCACGTCTGAATGTGTGTCGCTTTCTCTCTCCCTCTCTGTCTCTCCATTTTAAGTTTGTCACTCCCTGTCAGGAGGTGTGTGGTATGTTTCCATTTTATTCTCTTGGAATACTGTTTTTACTGATAACATTCTGAAGTTTTTCAGAGTTACTTTTCTTCCACAGTCTTGTCACTGTTCTAGTTCTGTTCACATTGTTCTGCATCAGCTCGTAGAGAACTTTGAAGTTTCTTCTGAAATTGTCCATTTCATCATTTCTCACAATGCATTATACTCATACATCACAATTTGTTTAGCCAGTCTTTAATAGGATATTCTCTAGTTTCCAATTTTTGGCTGTCACAAAAGAGTTTTTATTTATGTTTGTATGTATGTATATATATGTGTATACACACGCACACATATACATATGTATATATTATTTATATGTATATATGCACATAAACACATACATCCATATATCCATTCATCCATCCATACAACACACACACACACACACACATATACACATTATATGTACATATACACAAACACACATACACATATTCTTTTCCTCTTCCTTTGATTTCTTTGAAGTATAGGCCAATAATGGTTTAGCTGTGTCAAAGGGCAGTCACGGTTTGGTAACTTGGGGCAGAATTCCACATTGCTTTCCTGAATGCCTGGATCACTTCATAGCCCTACCAACAGTACACTAGTCTACTTGTTTTCCTCTGTCCCCTATAACATTGATCATTTCCTCTCTTGCCCATCTGTCTGATAGGGGTGAAGTGGAACCTCAAAGTTGCTTTAATTTGTATTTCTCTAATTAGTGATTTAGAGCATTTTTTCATTTGATTGTTGATAATATGAATTTCTTCCTTTGAAAACTGCCTGTTCATATCCTTTGGCCATTTATTGATTGGGGAATGGCTCTTAGTCTAATAATTTGGATCAGTTTCTCACATATCTTCAATGAGACCTTTAGCAGAAGCTTGTGGCAAAGATTTTTTCCCAGTTACTTGTTTCACTTTTAATCTTCATGATATTAGATTTGTTTGTGCAAAAATTTTATGTCCAGCTTATTTTGGGCAATCTTCTCTATCCCTTTGTTAGTCAGGAAGTCTTCCCCTTTCTGTAGGTCTGAGAGTTAATTTCTTTCTTGCTCTTCTAACTTGTTTATGATGTGACTTTTTATATCGAAGTCATGGACTCATCTGGAGCTCATCTTGGTATGTGGTGTGAGGGGTTGGGCTAAAACTAATTTCTGCCAGGCTGCTGTCCAGTTTTCCCAGCAGTTTTGGTCAAGTAGTGACTGGAATCTTTGGGTTTATCAAACACAGTGTTTCTGTGTTTGTTCTCTTCTGTGTGGGGGGTACTTCATCTGTTCTACTGATTGCTCTCTCTTTCTCTTTAACTTATACCTAATAATTTTAATGATTACTGCTTTGCAGTATGTTTGAGATCTAGTACTCGTGGTCTCCCTTCTTTCCTCCCTTTTTTCATTATTACTTTGGAGATTTTTTGTTCCTTCAGATGAATTTTGCGATTATTTTTTCTAGCCCTGTAAAATATTTTTTTCGTGAGGTTGACTGATACAGCACTGGATAAGTATATTAATTTAGGTGGCATCGTCATTCTTATCATATTGGCCCTTCCAGGCTAAATGGCTTGTCCAGAGCCACACAATTGATAAATGTCTGAGTTGGGGCTTGAAAACCAAGCATTTGGACTCCAGATCTTGGCTCTGTATTTATATGTGGCTGAGAGAATAAGAAAACCAACCAAACACCGTGTGGAGACTGCAGGAAGAGCCTTCATGAACTAAGCAGAGCCTTAAATTCATGGGCATCCTCCCCCTTCCATATTTAGGAAATGAATGGACGAAGTGGAAACGAGCAGCCACACATTCATCTTTCTTCTCAGACCCCCGGGTTCTTCTGGGCGTTCGTGTCTGCAGCCTAATTCTCCTTTCTTTCTGGAATTGGAAGGCCTCAGATGTTTAGTCAGACCCCATCACTTTATAGCTAAAGAATTAAGAGGCCTGTGGAGGGGATGTCAGTCCAGGGTTATTCCATAAGTTTGTGGCAGACTCAGGATTAGACATCCAGGTTTTCTGATTTCTAGTCCTCTGTGCTTACATTCTACCAGCTTTCTCCTTTACATAGTCATAACTGATCTTAAGGAAGACCCTGTAAAGTTCTCAATCATCAGAGAAAAAGCAGTTGTAATCTCTGTGTTAATGCAAAGGCAGGAAAGTATACTGCTTTTTAGAAAGATTTTCAATAGTAATTGAAAGAAAAAGAATGTTCTGCTAACCCTTCGTTTTCTGAAACACTCGTTTTTGTCCTGGTTATCCTAGTTTCTTGAGGTTTCCTGTAGTGCTTTATTTTTACTAGAATCACTTAAAAGCGTATGTGTGACTGTGAACACATAGGCCAACAGCATATATGCTATTTCAAGACAGTTCTTAAACTGGTTTGAATTTGGCTTAGCCTCTCAGCTCCTAGGCTGAATCCTTAACTCTGTTTTTGGATAATGTTTTAAAGGTTGTTAGGAACATGGCATGCCAGTGAGGTGTGTGTGTGTGTGAGTGTGTGCGTGTTTGGGTGTGTTTCCCTTGCCTCTTAAAAAATGCACTGTTTTTAAAAGAATGGAAAATCTTGACTCATAACTTTTCTGAGTCACACACACACACGCACACACACACACACACACACACAAACTGTGATGTAGTCATGGGTTCCCTTGGTTTGTGTTCATTAACTCTTAGGCGCTTGAAATGAGAAGCTTTACAGAAGTTGTTGCAAAAGGCCAGTGAATGATTTAATTCCAATCACATTAGTTAGGGACACGGTCCATGGCAACGTGACCCTGAATGGCTTAACTGTACTCAGTCTACAATCCTGGGTGAATTCAGCAAATACGACCACTTCCAGTTGTCCATGGTTCACCTGGTTTTCTCCTTATACACAAATAACTCTCTCAGGTCCTACAAATAGTTTTGATTTTTTTAAACTTTTATAGATACTTTTCACTACACCTGATTTCTTCCAATTTAAGTCTCAGTGTTGTGCTTTCTTGTAGGACCAACTGAAAAAGTGGGCCGGGATTCAGCAGGCGTGTCTACTCCTATATTTGGCCTTTCAACAGCGGCAGTACAAGTACAATAGCACAGTTTGTATCATTTATTTACTTGAATATACTTGCAATACCAAAGTAATCTCTTTTCCCCCTTGTTTTCAAATTGGACTAGAATTTTTTTTTAAGGATCAGAAAAGCCCGAGGTTAATGACAATATTAGGCTGAGATACAGCCTTGCCTGCCGCAGAACTTATTCCTTGGTTTTGCTGAGTGACAGCAGGGGTAGCGGATAGAGTGTTGGACTCAGGGCTCCCAGGCTCATTGCGGGCCTAGATTCACAGCTCCATAGCTCCACAGCTGCAAGGGCCCCTAGAAGCGGTCTAATTCACCCCCACCCCCCATGCCCCCATTTTAAAGATGGGGAAACTGAGGCCAGGGAAGTTCAGTGACTTGTCAGCTAGTCAACAAGCATTTATTACTTGATTACTCCATGCCAGGTGTGGTGCTAGGCCTAGGGAATACAAAGAAAGGTTAGAACAGGGTCCTTGCCTTAAGGAGCTCACAGTCAAATGGGGAAGACAACGTGCAAACAACATACATACAGGGTAAAGTAGAGGTCATCTAGTTTATCTAGGATTATGGGGGACCAAGATGAGGCTTTTGCAGAATGTAGGATGTTAGCTAAGACCAGAAGAAAGCCAGGAGGCAGAGGTGAGGAGCGAGCCATTCCAGGCATGGGAGATAGTGAAAATGCATTGAGTATGGGCGTGGGGAGTCTTGTGCAAGGAACAGCAAGGGGGCTAGTGTCACTTCATTATAGTGTACGTGGAGAAGAATGAGATACAAGAAGACTGGAAAGGTGGGAAGGGGCCCCGATGCTAAAGGCTTTAAATACCAAACCAGACAGAGCCTGACCCTGGAGGTCATAGGGGCTTATTGGAATTTGTTGAGTAGGGTGGTGTGGTCAGACCTATGCCTTAGGAAGATGCCCTGAAGTGGGGAAAGACTTGTGTCAGAGAGACTGAGCAGCAGGGTGTTGCAATAATCCAGGCTGGTGGTTGAGGGCAGTGTCAGAAGAGAAGCAGGCATATATAAGAGATGTTGCAAAGGTAAAATCAATAAGATTAGGGAACAGAAGGGGTATGGGAGAGGTGAGGGAGAGGGAAGAATTGAGGATGACCCCTAGGTTGCTAGCCTAGGTGAGTGGGAGGATGGTGGTGCTCTCCATTGTAATAGTGAAGTTGGAAGGGCAGCAGGCTTTGGAGAAAGACAATGAATTCTGTTTCGGGCAGGGTGAGTTTGAGCGGTCTAGAGGACACCCAGTTCAAGATGCTCAGTATGTGGTTGGAGATGGCAGACTGGAGGGTTGGAAAGAGAGGAGGGCCAGATAAATAAATTTGAGAATCATGAGCATAAAGATGATAACTGAACCCACAGGAGCTAATGAAATTACTGAAACAGAACAGAGGGAGAAGAGAGCCTAGGCTACCCTCAGTTAATAGGCATGACCTAGATGAAGATACAGCAGAGGACACTGAAGAGGAACTCTCACACAAGTAGGAGAAGCAGAAGAGAAGTCCAGAAGACCTGGAGAGAAGAGTTACGGAAGAGGGTGATCAGCAGCGTCAGAGGCTGAAAAGAGCCGAGAAGGATAAAGACTGAGAAAAGGCCATTAAGAGGCGATGGGGGAGGGCGGAGCCAAGATGGCAGAATAGCCAGAAGTGCCGTGAGCTCCCCCCAGCTCCTCCAGAACTGACGGAGAATGCACCAGACTGAATCCTGATGGAGAAATCCAGGAAAAAGTCACAATGTGGCATTTTTCTAGGCCAGGTCTGTAGAAGGAGATAGACAGAAAGCTCTGCAGACACTGGGGAAGGGGGTCTAGCCAAGAGCTTGCTGCCTGTACCACTGTAGTGCAAGGGAGAGGTTGTGACCTAGAGCAAAAGGAGGTCCTAGGCCCATCGTGGGGCCCCTCAGTGGGAACAGGTGACAATCTGGCAGCTGTGTTACCCACTAACCAGTTCCAGAGCACAGAGATCACATTTTAAGAAATCTCAAAAGGAAACTGTCCAGATCTCTGAGAACCATAAGACAAAGTGGAAGTACAAAGAATCTGCTAGTCGCATCCTGAATGAAACTCCCAAGGGAAAACTCCCAGGAACACCGGAGCCAAAATCAGAGCTTCCAGGCCAAAGAAGAAGTAATGCAACTGCTAGTCAGAAAGGATTGAATACCAAGGAGCCAGTCAGGATCACACAGGATTTAGCAGCCACCACTAGAAAGCAGCAAAGAACTTAGAATATGATATTTCAGAAGGCAAAGTTATAGGTTGGCAGCCAAGAATGATTTACTCAACAGAAGGATCATCTTCGAGGGAGAAAACTGGATCTTTAATGAATAGTGCACTTCCAAGCATTCTTCATGAAAAAACAGAGCTGTGTAGAAACTTTGGAGTTCAAACACAAGGGTTAAGAGAAACAAACAAGTAAACATGATGAAAATTGATAAAGGACTAGATCAGGGTAAACTGCTTATAGTCAGCATGGCTTATCATCATCAGGCCTCAGAGGAAGGCCAGTCAGACAAGGCCCGAGAGTGGCTTTCTCATGTCTTGATGAGCTTAAGAGAAGAATTTAACTTTAGGAAAGAGAGGGGAGGAGGAAGGAGGATGTCTTGTATAATGTCTTGTATAATGACGGCATACAAGTATAACCACGAAGAGGCGGGGGGGGGGGGGGGGAAGCTCACTCCTCTGAACTGGTCACAATCTGGAAGGATAGACACACCCAGTTGGATTTCACTCAGAGGAGAAAAGGGAATTAGAGGGAGGGATTAGTCCTACCTACAGTAAACGCTAAGAATGGACAGAAACATTTATTGCTTTTTGAGGTGATAAAGAATAGGAATCTGAGGGGGATACGATAAATTGGGGAATGCCTGAACAAGGTTTAAGGCAGATAAATATGATGGATATACTGTGCTATAAGAAATGATGAAGGGGATGGTTTCAAAGAAACCTGAGAAGAATTGCATGATGCAAAGTGAAGTGAGTAGAACCAGGGGAACTGTTTCTGTAATGACAACAACATTGTAAAGAAAAACAGCTTGGAAAGATTTGGGAACCCTGATCAACCCCAGTTCTAGAGGACCAGCGATGAAGCACACTGTCCAACTTCTGATAAAGCAGTGAAGGACTCGGTGCAGAACACAGAAGTTTGTTTGCTTGACTCCGTGTGTATGTAACAGGGTTTCTATTTTTCATTCTTAATTAGGGGGAGGGATGGGATGGGAGGCAGAGGAGACAGATTTTTCCTGATTGAAAAAAATAAAATTTAAAATACTCTTTTGGAAAGAGATCATTGGTGACTTCAGGGAGAGTAGTTTCGGTTGAGTAATGAGTGAGAAAGCTTAAGAGAGTGAAAGGAGAGTAAGTGGAGGCCAAGATTGATAGACTTCTATGGGAAGTTAGTGGAGGCCAGGATCGTGATGGGCCGTCTGCAGGAGGTTAGCCGAGAACGGGAGAATTGACAGAGGGTGATGGTAGGAATGGGTAGGATCAAGTGAGGATGTGGCAGACGTGGGTGTGTTTGTAGGCAGCAGGGGAGCAGCCAGTGGTCAGGGCAGGGCTGAAGATAGAGTCGGGATGATAGAGGGTAAACTTGAGGAAACGCATGTCTCCCCGTCAGCCCTCAGGATCATATCAGAAGGCCCCTTTCTGCCTTTTTGGTCTTCTTAATCTTCAAAAATTAAGTGTGACTCCGTTCACTCTAAAATCCAGCAGCCTTGGCCTGGCACATTGTCTGTCTCCTGGTGCCTCCCACCTCCTCAGCCCTGCCATGTGCTCGCCTTCTCCCCATGGCCTTCTGGTGGCTTCTGGCTTCCTTCTGGAAGAAGCCTTTCCTTCCCCTGCCCTCCCTACTGCTAGTGCCTTGGCTATGTCATTACTTTCTGTGCCTGCATATCCCTCTCTTCCCCCTATGCATACACACCTTTGTATGTTGTCTCTCCTGTTAAAATGACCCCCTTTTGGCTGCCCTTTGTTAGCATGGTCAGTGCCAGGCTGGTCAGCAGTCCCAGCGGGGTATGGGGGGGAAGGGCATTAGGAGGTACCCAGGTTCAAATTAAGCCTCTGGCACCTGCTAGCTTTAGGGCAGTGGGCATTACTTGTGATTTCCTTATCTGTTCAGTGAGTCTTTAATGCCCACCTCCCTCCCTCCTGGAGATGTTGGAAGGCTCCGATGAGCAAAGGTAGGGATCCCCCTTGCAGGAGGAAGGGGGCCACCCACCAAGGTCAGTAGCTGTTCCTCTTACCCAGAATTTTAGGGTGAGGCTCTCCATAGCCTGCCTGAGGGAGAATAGATGTGGGCAGGCCTCTTTTCTATTCTGGTGACACCAGTGTGAGGAAAGAAAAGTGCCTCTTACTGGTCTGACCCTGCTGGTTTTTCTGCCCTGCCTCCCTGGCTGTAGTCCAGTCACTGGTGAGGACACTAGGAGGTCGTCCCCTTCCCAATTCGTTGGTGTGGCCCTGCCCCCAGGAGTCCCAGCTGAGTCTGGGGGGGTTGGGATGCCCAGCCTGTGCTCCTGATCTTCACACGCTCACCAGGCACGTGCTGGTGGGTTGATGGACCATGGCCCCAGGGAGCGGGGCCCTGAGTTCTTGGTGTCTAACTGCTGAGCCCCACTGTTGGTTGGTCCAGTGCTTTGGCTGCAGGGAGCAGAGGCTGACTCCCCCTTGTGAAAGGGCCCAGCCTTGTGCCCTTGCGGCTGATGCCACATGGTCCTAGAAGGTCAGGAGAGGGCTCCCTCATGGCCCTTGCTCTCTCTGCTCCACGCAGGTGGTGACATCATGGAGCCCCCGAAGCACGGCCCCTTACAGATCGTCTTGGTGAACAAAGAGCAGCATTCTTTTGAGCTGAATGAGAAGGCCTTGACCAAGATCCTCTTGCAAGACCACATCAGGGACCTTGACGTGGTCGTCGTGTCGGTATCTGGAGCCTTCCGCAAGGGCAAGTCCTTCTTTCTGGACTTCTTGCTTCGCTACATGTACAGCCAGGTGGGCCAGAATCCCGTGTGTCTTGGATCCTTAGTCAGTGCCTTGTTTTCCTATCTTCGTATTTAAAGGAGACTTATTTCTCATCTTGCAGAAGAAGGGTAGCCATCTGCATTGGCTAGGTGACAAAGATGAACCACTAACAGGATTTTCCTGGCGAGGGGGTTCTGACCCTGAAACCACTGGAATTCAGATCTGGAGTGAAATTTTCACTGTGGAGAAGCCTGATGGGAAGAAGGTAAGGGCTGAGGGGTCGCCTCCAAACGCATGAAGAACTTTGCCTTTTTGATCATTGTGTAAAATTAGTTTACACAGAATCTCTCTCTGTATTGGCATAGAGTCTGAAACATTTTTATTCTCTTAACTTTAAACCAATGAAACTAAAACAAACCTCTAACATGCCCCTCAGAGCATAGCTCATTCTTACTCCCTCTATATTCCCTTCTGTTCTCTGCTTGTTCACATGTTTCTGTTTGTGTTTACATTTTAATTTTTATTTTTCCAGTCAGTTGGTATATACTGTTTTGGTTTTGCTTTTATTTGAATTACTTCATACCAATCTTTGCAGATTTCTTCATATCATTTATTTATCATTTTAAATGGCCCTGTATTATTTTGTCAGATTAATATGCCATGGTTTATTTAATGATTCATGGTAATTCAATTTTTAAAATATAATTAATCATCAGTTATTTTCTCCTTTCTATCCCTTCTATCCCTCTCTCCCCATTAAACAAATGAAAAGAAAAATTAAACCCTTATTACGGCTAGGCATGATCCAGCAAAGCAGATTCCTGTGTCTCATTGAGCATTTTGATTCCTTCCTGGTCATATACTTTATCAAGAGAAGTCATCCCTAGTTGATACTGACTTTAGGAAGGCAAGCGGAAACCTTGGTTTTTTCACCTATTGTCCTTATTCGTATTGAATCTGAAAGCGTGGACATGAAAGTCATCAAATCTGAGAGAGGCTCTAGAGAATGTATGGCCCGCCCCTCCTCATGTAGAAATGGAGGAAAGCAGGGAGAGTGTGCATTTAGGGTCAGTCAAGTGATGGGCCTAGCACAAGATGCCCCCTAACACACGCACCTACTTTGCATCCTGGTGCTTCCCACGATGTCTCTGGCACTCGGGTGGTGGCATGTGGATAACGTTTGTTTGATTCTTAATAATACCTGGCATACAGGTGCTCCGGAAGAAAAGTAGTATGCAGGAGACCCTGAATGTGTCAAGGACGAAGCCCCTCTGAGCTGACTTAATGTATCGTTTGCCTCCCAAGCTGGACTCCCTGTGTGTCCTGGGGAGGTAGACAGGGCACCAGCAGGCAGTCTGTGTTGGGCTGAGAAAGTGCTTGTATGGTAGGGATCCTGGTAGATAAGGAGACCCTCCTGTCTTCATGGGGAGGAGGAAGAACAAAGCTTTGGCTGGCCCTGCTCCTCCCCTTCACGAGGGCTTTTGTCCTTTTCCCACTTGTCCTGCTGTGATAAATCTGCAAACTTGGGTATGAATTGTAAACGCTTTGCTTTCACATGGGTGTTTGTTTCTCTTGTAAGAAACCTTGTTTTCACCAACGTTTTGTGATGTCATGATTGCCTGTTGTCAGGCTGCAGGTCACCCAGAGTGTGGTGGAGAAGGGCCAGGGGCCTTCTGTTCCACAGCCTTTTCCATGCCATTGTTAAGCTTCTTTCTGGTGCCAGGGTGGGCCCTCCACTTTGTAAAGCATGCTTGCCTAAAATGATGTCATGCAGTTAGAAGTAGGAATGACGCTACTTGAAAAACCCTGGAAACGCTAAAGATGAAGATAGTACTGCAAATAATAATCTGCCTTTAACATGTACAATTATATATGTGTAGTTTTATTACTGTGTACTCCAAAAGGTTTGTAGGATTAAGAGAAATTAAATGAACCTTCTTGGTTTCCTGGCTCTGAGTCCAATCAGAAGATGGTAACAGCTGTCTTTGGTACGCTCAGGGACCCGGCACTAGGCCTTCTGTCGCCCCTCTGCTGGATGGGCTGGATCTGGAGGTTTCGGCAGGTGTCCCCTTCCTCCAGCCGCCCTCCGGCAGTGAGTCAGAGAAGACTGGACCTTCTGCAGCACGCTGTGGTCAGGCTAGACGAGCAGTTGGGCTCTTCCTCTTCTAGAGCTGCCCAGCAGGTTCGTTTGTAGGATAGTTCTCTTGTTGTTTGAAGCAGCTTCTTTAACCTTGTGCTTTCAGTTTTCAGTCTTCTTTTTGTATTTTCCCTTGTTCAGGTTGCACTGATTTTGATGGACACTCAAGGGGCATTTGATAGCCATTCCACGGTGAAGGACTGTGCCACCATATTTGCCCTCAGTACCATGATGAGCTCTGTCCAGGTAAGTCGGCTTGATTTATGAAAAAAAGAGAGCATTCCCTGGGATGTTGGCGAATGAGAGACTCTGTGATGCTGATGCCCATCAGAAGCTCTGGGTCTTTGGGAAGGGCCGGGCATTCAGCGCTGCGCTCGTCTTCCTGAGGAGGGCAGCCTTCCCTGATCTCTAGGTGGGAGGCACTGAGGAAGAATTTGCCTAGGAGAGGCTGTACGGCTGCCATGTTGTGAGCCAGTCTAGGACAGAAAGAAACCAGCAAGCCATTATTGTTCTTGACACACCTGCACTCCAGGAAACTGCCCTGGGTGGGGGTCCAGGCTGGGGAAGGGGGGTTCTTTAGGCTGACCTTGCCTGTCAGGATGGTGTTAATCAGAAACCTGCTTTTATTACAGATTTTTAATTTGTCCCAGAACATCCAGGAGGATGATCTGCAGCAGTTGCAGGTAACGTGGCTCGGAAAGGTTTTGCTTGGGGATTGGCATCACCTCTTTTCAAATGATCTTAAGAGAGAGTTTTGCTATGCAAGGTTCAAGGGTGTAAGAAGGTTACTAATCCTTAGGCCCTGCCCCGGTCCCGTATTTTGGGCTTTTTCACCTGGAGTTTCTTCAGAAAACACCTGAGCAGCCACGCTCATCCCCTCCCATGTCCCCAGAGTCCTGGGCACCACTCTTCTCCTGCTTCCCCATGCCTGGGCTTGTTTGGAGGCTGCTGTCCTGCCTCCAGTCAGTGATCAGCTTCTCTTCCTCCTCCTCCTCTGCATCCCCGACCTTTCACCTTCACAGGCCTAGACCTCTGCCTCCGGCTTCTTGCACCTTCAGAGTTTCCGGCCTGGTGTGATCTGATCTTCAGCATCCTCAGGGTCATGTCTTGAGGCTCCTATGTCCTGTGGAAGGGCCTTGATTTGTTCCTCAAGTGCTGCTCTGTTGAGGCGACGGGTGATGCCCAGGAAGGCTCGTGGTGGAATTCTTGGGGCTGGGGGCGAGAGTGGTTTTTAGCAGAATTTGGATGTCCTTCAAAGTTGATTTTGTTGATTTTGGTCAGTCTGTCTTTTCTTGGGCGTGGCCCATTTCCTCTCCTAGATTATATGCTGTTTGAGGGCAGGGTGGGTTGTTGTTTTGGCTGCCTGTGTGAACTGAGTACTGAAGTATGGGGGAGTGGCAGCCTGAGAGTTTCTTGAGCTTTTTGAGGTAAAGGGAGCATCCTATCCAAGAAATGTGATAATAAGGATAACTTGGCTCTCTCATCTCCAGGGCTCCTAATTAGGGTATCAGAGTGAGTAAATAGTTCACTGGTATGAGTGGATGATCCAGGCCAGTCAAAGGGTCCATCCCTCCTTGAGGCCCTGCTCCTTGTGAAGGAAGATGTGGAGCTGGAGAACAGTTCTGTAGCTCCCTGCCATGGCTCCCCTGCATGGAAGCAGCTCACTAGCCCACACAGTCTGAGAGAATGGCAGCTGTGGCAGCTGGACCATTGGGGATCTGGGAAAGAGGGTGGGGCATCAGAGAGGCACCACCTGCCTCCGGTGCAAAGGGCTGCCCATGTCCTGACTTCCAAACAAGAGAAGGGGAGCAGAGCGTGTAAACTAAGGCAGAAGCTCAACTTTAGCTTCTGGGAGCATTCAAGAATGGAAAATTAAGAGTCAGTTGGTGAGCACCGAGTGAAGGAGGTGGGAGATTCCTTAGAACCAGCAGAGATCACTTCCTCAAGAACAGGTTATATCAGATTAACCTTGTTTCTTTTTTTGATAGGATTGTGAAAGTAGGGGAATGATAGAGTTGTGTTTGGCACAGATTTTTCGCCACATTTTTGATAAATTATCTCCTTTAGCTCTTGTGGAGGAGATAGAGAAGTGTGGACTAGATGATAATGTCATTGGTTGGGTTCAGAGCTGGTTGGAAAGATGGGGTCAGGGTCGTTCAGGATCTAACTTCCTCATGATGTGAGATCTTGGGTGGGTCACTCTGTGGACCTGCTTGTCCCCCTGGGCCATGTAACATTTTTACTAATGGCTTGGGTAAGGACTCAGATGAAATGTTCACCAAATTCCCAGATGATCCAGAGCTGGGAGGGAGAGTGAATATCCTAAACGGCAGTGCCGGGCTGGCACATGGAGCTGAATCCAGTAAGATGGGGTCGCTAGGGATAAAGGTCGCTGTGTCTCACCCCTGGGCTCAGTAAGTCTGTAGCCAGAGCGTTATCTGAAAAAGACCTGAGGGATCTAGTGGACCTCAGGTTCTCAGTCTGTGTCAGTGTTGGGTTCAAGCCACCAAGATCCTTCTGTTCTCCATCTTTCTTGAGCCTTCCCTGGAGGAGTGTGCTCAGTTTTAGGGAGCACAGCTTAAGGAGGTCATTGATGAGAACACCTAGGTGAGGCATAGTGAGGGCCTGGAGTACCTGTCCTATGAGCATTGGTGGGAGGAAGTGGACATGTAAACCCTGGATAGTTGTGACTGGCCATTCGAGTCGTGATGCCTTTGGGTATGAGCTGGACTAGAGGCGGCTGAGATCCTTTCCAGCCCTCTCATTCTGTGAGTCTGTTAAGGTGCCTGAGATTTCTTAGGACAGTGGCCCCAGTAACAAATAGAGAAGTCAGAAGGAAAATCGGACTTGGGGTGGATGAAAACTAATTGAATTTTAGACTTAATTAGGCTGAGTTAGAGTTGCCCTTGGGACAGAGGGTGGGACTGGAGAATAGACATTTAGGGTCAGCATCTGTAAGGGAGGGATGGTGGCAGCTGTGGGACTGGATGAGCTCTCCAAGAGAGGGTGTGAAGAAGAGAGAAGGGGGCCCCATGCAGAAGGACCAGGGACTGGGCTGGGCTGGGCGAGACAGTACCTGAGGCCTGCTGGAGTGCTGGAGGCTCTGGATGCTGGGAGTGGAGGGGTAGGTTGGGGAGCATGAGCCCAAGCCAGAGGAAGCCGTCTTCGTAGGCTGTCACATTGTCTTTTTGTGAGTTGGGAATCAGGTACAGGCTCACGGCCATTTCAGACTTCATAGGACTCCCTGTCTTCTTTTCAAGCCTTATCACCTGCTGAGTAGGTCCCTCCTGCCTCAAGTCTCTGCTCCACGTGATCAGTCCATAACCATTGGTTTATTAAGCACCTGCTGTATGCCAGGCACTAGGGATAGAAGTACAAAGAAGGAAAACATCTCCTCTGTCAGAGGAGACAAGTACATATATAAATGTCTGTAGCTGAATATGCAGGGAATAAATATGGATGTCTCCTGAAGAGTGAAAGACAAGTCATTTGGGAAGGAGGACGCTGAGGGGGTCAGGGATCAGGAAAGACAAGAGAGGGACCGTGACGTAGAGGTGAGGAGGAAGGGACGGGGGATGGCGAGGCCGAAGGTGTGGGGGTGGGAGGGAGTATCACATGGGAAGAACAGAGGAGGCCAGATTGGTTGGGTGTGGGCAAGAGCGATGAATGGCCAGGTTGGTTCCGGGGGGTGAAGGGCTGTAAGTGAAGTAGAAGAGGTGATGTTTTCTAGAGGCAGGAGGCAGGCACTTGGTCAGATCTTCTCTGAAGGAAAATCATGTGTGTGGGATGGGCTGGAATGGGGAAAGGCCAGAGGTAAGAAAAGCACATGAGGAGGGTGTTGGCGGTGCCTTGGTGAGAGGGGGCTACGTGAGCGGAGAGAGGGTCAGGGCAAGAGATGCCCCGCAGGTGACATGGGGGTAGCAGAGGAGGGTGGGGCAGTGTTGAGCCCCTGACTCTGGAGAGCATGTGGGTGGGGGCGTCATCCCCAGGCGTCCCTCTAGAAATGACCAGGAGGCAGGTGGCGGTGCAGCCGAGACTGAGACGGAGAGACTGGCCGACGTAGACATGGGATGACGGGGACGCTGTGGGGGCCAGACTCTGGGGCAGCCCCTCAGTTAAGGGCCAGGGTGTGGATGAGGATGACCAAACCCGCCCCTCTTCCCCAATGGCTTGTATATGTTGTAGATTGTCATTTTTCTCCTTTCCCCTATACCAAGCTGGGAACACTGGGTACTCACTTTGCTGACCACTGGTCCCCAAACTGTGACTTCTCTAATTTTGTGGGAGCAGTTCTTGGTCCTAGCTGCCAGTCAGCCAGCAGTGGCGAAGTCCCTCCCTTGTGCCAGGCCCTGCTGTGAACGCTAGGGCACGAGGGGAGACAAACAGCCTGGCCCTGGTTCCAGTTGCATGCTGGATCGAAGGATGACCTCCAGAGACACCCCTTCCCCTATTGTGTTTTCACCTATTGTTGTTCATATCTGTTTCTTTCTTAAAGCTGTTCACAGAATATGGTCGTCTGGCAATGGATGAAATTTCCCAGAAGCCCTTCCAGGTACGCCCCTTCTCTTTGCACACCACTCCTGCCTGTTGTTTCTTTATGCTACGTGTCCTTAGCTCCCTGCCTCACCTGCTGTCTCATTGTGAGGTGAGAGTTCCCAAGTGTCTTGACAGTGAGCCCATTGCCCTGTGGGGCCCAACGTGAAAGGGGCTAGAGGTGACTCTGTGAGCTGTGGTGGGTGGTTCTTCACCCTTCACCCCATCGCTCCTCCTTGCCCTGAATCTGGCCCTGCATCTGCCTCATGGCTCCCTTCCTTGGGTTCTTACTAAGCAGGGGAATAAAAGTAGCCCGCAGGGCCTGGTGCCCCCATGCCTGTTTCACGTGTATCCTTCTGCCTTGGGCAGAGTCCCTGGCGCCCAAACTCAGCTGATATATCTCCCCGGGATTCACAGAATAGGGAAGTCCTGGAGTCCTGTCAGGGCTCTGCCTGCCTTTTCTTCAAAGGAGAGGTGTTATCAATACGTTTCTGAAGAGGGGCTGTGTAATAGCACCTACTGTGTGCTAGGTATTGTGCTAAGTGCTGCCCAATGAGATATTATCGCATTTGTTTCTCACAACAGCCCTGGGAGGTTGGTGCTGTAATGATGCCCACTTTACAGATAAAGAAACCGAGGCAGACAGAGGTTCAGTGACTTACTCAGGGTTACACAGCGTCTCAGGTCTGACGACTTCTGCTGAGCCACCAGATTTATTTATAGAAGGCTGTGTGTGACCCACCCTACTCTTTGTCTCCCTAAATAGATGCTGATGTTTTTGATTCGAGACTGGAGCTGTCCGTACGAGTATAGCTATGGACTTGAGGGAGGAATGGCATTCCTGGAGAAGCGCTTGCAGGTGATTCATGGTTGGGGGGAAATCTCGTAGGGGATGCCAGTGGCAGCCCCCATGGAAGGGCTCTGTCGCCTACCCCCCATCAGCCTTAGGTCACCGACTTCTTCGAAGATGATTGGCAGTAGGGAACAAAGAATTACCCGGGACGCTTTCACAGCTGCCTCCCGTGTGCTGGCTTGGGTGGCACTCAGTCCCTGTGCCAGATTGAAACTAGTCTCAATGTGGATTGCCATTCTCACTTAAAAATTTGGCCGTGACTGCGATGACCAGGAGCAGCCTTCCTTGCCGAGCCTCTGTCACCGGTGCCGATGGGTTTGGCAGCTCATCTGGGCCCCGAGCCTTGGCGTTGTTTGTGAGCCCAGGGGCCAGAGCAGCCTCTGCGCTTTGGAGGTCACAACAGACTCTTGCGACGTGGGCTCTCCTGGTGGCCCCAGGCTCCCAAAGCCCTCAGGCTCAGACACCCCCGATACAGGTGGAGTGTTCAGTTCTCAGGCTCCCAAAGGCCTTGGGCTCAGATGGTCCAGTACAGGTGGTGTGTTCGGTTGCCATGCACAGGAGATGAACTCTGACTGTGTTCGTCTTTGTTGGCAGGTGAAGCAGCAGCAGCACGAGGAAATCCAGAACGTCCGGAATCACATCCGCTCATGCTTTACCAACGTCAGCTGCTTCCTCCTACCACATCCAGGCCTCCAAGTGGCCACGAGCCCCACCTTTGACGGAAGGCTGAAAGGTTTGTGTGGACGAAGCGAATGAATGGGTAGGGACCCCTGCTGGCTGTGCTCTGGCCCCCAGCAGGGCCTGGGGTGTCTCAGGCCGGGCCACCGGCTCCCTTTCTGTGAAATGGTGAAAGTAATGCTCTCGGGTCTTTCCAGTGGGGATGCTGTGCCTGCAGAGACATGCCCAGGTGAGACCCAGAAGGGGCCCAGGAAGGGGAGGCCACGTTCACAGGGGGAGAGAGGAGAGGGTGCCACGGGGGACACTGCTTCTGTTTTGACCCTTGGGTTCTAGGATCTTGTTTTGGAGCCAGCAACATCATTGTGCCTCAGTTTATCCATATGTAAAACTGACCTGGCTTTGTTTTTCTAACTTTCCTCGTGATTCTGTTAGTAATGTTGGGTGATGCTAATGTGTTAGCATAGGAGCTCAGCATAGGGCTGGCGGGCTGCTGTCGCCTGCTGGGTGGGCATTCAGTGGAAGAGAAAGGCCTGGCTCCCCTGGCCAGTGGGCATTCTCATTCAGAAGACCTGCCTCCAGATTGGTCTGTATGGAGTCAGAGAAAATGAGTTTGTGAGAATGACTTTGTCCTTCATTTGTCCACTGGAGAAAGCTTTTTACCTCATTGACAGCTTTTCTGCTCAGGAGAGGTCAAGACCTGGTGATATGGTCATTTAGAATCAAAGTTTGTTGGCCCAGGTTTTACAAAAAGATCTCTGGAGGCAGAAGGGGTCACGTCAGTTGTATATACATCCTGCTGTCCCCCCCTCCCCTCCGTAATCCAATGAATGACAGGAGGCATCTTATGGATGTGTGTGTCAATCTGTGCATAGAGTCTGCCATCTTCCTGTTTTGTGACATAGACCCCTCTGGCTGTTCGGGGAACCCCTACACAGAATCATGGTTTGTTGGGTCCTTTAAATTCATAACTGAAGGAAATGCTAAATTTTAGTTGGAGATTTGCACAATTTTTTTCCCCACCTAAGTTCCTTAGACTGTCCCCTTTGGTTAAGAACCCCTTGTGCTCTTTCCTTTGGTTTGGTTGGTAGACCTCGGGCCTGGGGTCTGTCCCTGCTCTGCTGTCTCTTCACTGTGTGGCCTGGCTAAGTCACACAGCCTTGGCAAGCACTAGCCTGCCCTGGAAAAGGAGAGCCTTAGACTAGTGCGAAGCTTGTGCACTTCAAAAACAGGTTGGTCGGTCAAAATTGGTCTCCTTTGTAATCCCACGTATTGGATTTGATGTACTTGAAAGCATGATTTTGAGAAGGGGCCCTGGGCTTCCCCAGCCTGATGACCGTGGATGAGGTGGTCTCTGGCAGAGCTTGCCAGTGACCCACCCGACTCTTCCTCACTGCGGGGAGTCCCATGTCAGAGAGGCAAAAAATGTCCAGCAGTACTCTCCCAAATGTCCAGCTGCCTTATTAAGTTCTGGACTGGGTTGGAGCCAAGAGATGCAGGTCATCTACCTGTATGACTACCTGTATGACTGGGCAAATGGCTTAATCCCCCTTTTTCGAACTGGGAAATGGGGATGAGAATAATATTTATATTATATTTATATTAGTACTAGCTCTGTAACCCGCAGCAAGTCACCTCGTCTCTGTCTGCCTCAGTTTCCTCAACTGTAAAATGGGGATCATAATAGCACCTACCTTTGAGGCTTATTGTGACAGTCAAATTAGCTAATGTTTGTATAGTGCTTAACACAGTGCCTGGCACATAGTAGGTCCTTAGTAAGTAGATGTTTGTTCCCTCCCTCCTTCTCTCTCCCTTCCATTCCTTCCCTTCCCTCCTTTCCTTCTCTTTCTTCCTTCCCTCTCTCCCTTCCTTCTTTTCTCTGTCTCTCCTTCCCTTCTTTCCTCCCTCCCTCCCTTCCTCCTTTTCTCTTTCTCTTCTTCCCTTCCTTCCTTTCCTCCCTTCTTTCCTTCTCTCCTTCCCCTACCTGATGGGACAGTGGTTTGGGTGAGTGGGGAGGCACACAAGAGTCAGGCTGGGGAGGGGGCCATGGGGGATGGAGCCTCCTTGTCTCTGCCCCCTGCTTCTGGGCGGGTCTGCTTCTGGATGGGCCCACGTCAGGTCCATGGCTTAACACAGATTCTCTCTGGTCCCCTGGACAGACATCGCTCCTGAATTTAAAGAACAATTAGAGGTGCTGATACCGTTTGTGTTAGATGCAAGCAGGTTAATGGAAAAGGAGATCAGCGGCTCCAAAGTCACCTGTCGGGGTCTGCTGGAGTATTTTAAGGTAAGCACGGGCCTTTCCTCCTGAGGGACACAGACCTGCTTGGCTTGTGGTTGAGGTGGGGCTCGGCCACAAGTAGCCATTAGGGGGCAGTGCTGACCCTCAAGATGAGTTCCGAGTGGGCGAAGCAGCCTGGTGTGTGGGCATGACTTCCCTCGGAGCCAGTCAGTGAGTGAGTGAGTGGCGAGGGGGTCTTCAGGGGCTCTGGCTTGGTCTGATGTCCACGTTGTTAACTTCTCTGACGCATGTGCGTTCATGTCGTGCCCGGTGTGCTGGCAGCTCCCATGAGAAATGCCTCGATGTGCCCAGTTACCACAGGCTGCGGGTTTGTATCATCTCTTCACTATTTTTATTCCAGGCGTACATTAAGATTTACCAAGGAGAAGGTCTGCCTCACCCCAAATCAATGCTTCAGGTAAGCCATTTGCTGTCATCCTAGTCACATCATCTTTTAAAACCAGGGAGCCTCATCTCTCCTTCACTGGGCCCTGAGAGGCAGGCTAAGTGCAGTTCATTTTTAGGCACATTTCCCAGAATGGTCCACTGAGATCTTCTGTCTTTGTCTCTATAAATATGTGACGTTGGAATGGGAGCCGAGTGGCAGCTCCGCACTGGGATCACAGGGTTGCAGGGAGCTCGAGGCATCTAGCCTGACTTCTGAGTCCACCAGAAAGTCTCCTGTGTGCACTGTTGCTGAGACCCTCTAGCCAGAGGCCCCCTTCGCTCCCTGGGCAGGCGGCCTCTTCTGTGGGGAGCCCTTTTTGGGAGTGAGTTGTTCCATTTCTCCAACCAGAATCTTTCCCCTTCGTTCTTCCTCCCTCTGCCCTCAGGGACCAGCCTTTCTTCTCCCGGACATGCTTTCCAGCACTCTGCTGTCCTCATTACTCAGTTTTCTCTTCGCCCGGGTGGGCGTCCCCAGCTCCTCCACCCGTCGGCCGGCTGTCTTGCCGCATCCTGGTCCTGCCACTCCGGATGCTCCCCAGCTTAGGGGTGTTCGCACTTGGAAGTGAGATGGGCGGTGAGGGGTGATGCAGCTGGCTCTGTGATGTCACTGAGCTGCTTCCCTCTGACCATCCCTGCCTCCTCATTCTGTCTTGGGCAGCTTCTCACTCTCAGGAGGCTGGCATTTATCAAGTAGGAGTACCGCCTGCCTCCAGGGGCTTCCATTTGAATGGGGGAAGCCTGCACTAAAATGGAGCTGAAAAGCAGGGGAGGGCGGTGGGACGAATGTGCCCCGTGCAGGGCCGAGGCAGAGGCCGCCTGGAGGCGGATGAGGCCTGGCTGGCCTGGGCACTGAGCACGATTCCAGATCTGGAAGGACGGCTAGGAAGTTTGCTTCTGGGGCTGGCAAACAGCCAGCATGCTGGTGAGCCCCCTCTGCTCTGCAGACATTGCAGGGCTAGCAGTGGGCCACAGCGGTGTCTCTGCATTAGCCATTGTTCTCTCACGGGATCAGCTCACTGCCCTGTTTGTGGCATCCGGTAGTCTGCCCGTGAAAGTCACCTTCCTCTTAGGTTCCTGGGTGCTTGCCTTGCGTGTCGACAACATTGGGAAGTCTGTGAAAAGGATGCCCGTCCCCTGACCCGGACAGTTAAGTCACCTTTGTCTGTTTGGTTCATCCTTGGTGGATCTGGAGGCCATACTCTTGAGTGGTAGGCAAAGGGCAGCAGGCTCTGCAGTGTCTCAGGGCTTAGTGCAGTCAGCACATGGTCCTGTGCAGGGACCCTCCCCGTCCCCAGGGAAGCATCACCTGAGAGTAGTGATGAGAGGCTTGTTGGACCAGGACCTTCTAAGGAAGCTTGTATGACTTTGACACGGAGAACCCTTCCAGAGGCATTGTGCCAACTGGACCAGATGCTTCGGTGTCAGCCAGCACCAAGCCCAGTAGGGGGCTGTCTTCTTGACTTCTCATTTGATGGGGAAGATGGGACTTTGTGTGAAATGCTAGTCAAGTTAACAGGCATTTTTTTGTATGCGCCACGTGTTAAGCAAAAGCCTGGCTGTTCCCTCCTGACACTATCATCAGGGGTACCCCAGGACATGTGCAGATTAATTACGATAATAATAATAATTAGCACTTAATATGGTGCTTACTATTTGCCAGGTACTGAGAAGCTCTTTACAAATATATCTTGTTTGATATATTATATTCTCATGAAAATTTCACATAGAGGGGAAATTCAGCACGTTCCTTGGTGGTTAGTAGTTTTCTCTTGGTCACCTTTTTGGGTGGTTAAGTAGTAAGGGCCAGGACCTTTTCTCTGCCTATGGTTTCTTTTCCTCCTCTGGATACTGTAAGAAATGGTCCCTGGGTTGGCTAAGAGACTGGTGTAATTCTGCTGCTTTTCCCAAAGCCTTTTTTCTTCCTTCTGTATATTTGGCTGTGGCACCTTGGGGTCCTTCATACCTGGACATGATGAATTCCCTTCTTTGGTGACTCAGGGAGCTTGCCATACACAAAGACCCTTAGCTCTCTGCAGGGGAACTTCTTTCTACCCCAGCATCTCCCTTTTTGAGGATCATTTTCTTTCTTTTTTTTTAATGTTAAACATTTCCACATTAGTCATGTTGCGAAAGAATAAACAGAACAAAAGGGAAAAACTATGAAAAAACAAAACAAAAAAGAGCAAATAGTATGCTTCGCTCTGTATTCAGACTCCATAGTTCTTTCTCTGGAAAGAGCCTTTTGGAATTGTCTTGGTGCAGATCTTTTTCTTAACTGTGCATGTCAGACCTTCTGTTTCTTCCGACACATTTCTGTTCGCTAGACACTCTTCTGTGGCCTGGCCTCTTTTTGGATCCTGACTTTTCCTCTGTGTCTTTGCCATCCCTCCTAGCTTTGGGTCATCTGCAGACTTAAGACTTAAGTGCCATCTCCTTATCTAAGTCACTGATAAAAATGCTCACAGCAAGCAGTGCCCTAGAGACTCCGAGAGCACTCTGCTCTAGGCGGCCTCCAAGCTGACATCAGATTGCCAGCCATAGGCCTCTGGCCGTTTCTGGATCCACAAAACTGTCCTGATGACCAGTTTCCATCTTTCCATCATGATTCCAGTCAAGATGTCACAGTCCAGGGATTACAAGGGTAACTCCTCGCCCTGGTGATCCTCCCGCATAAATGACATGGCCTTGAATTCTGCTTGACGCCAACATCAGGTTCATCAGCCCCTTCTCTTATTAGTGCCATACTTTATGCTTCAATTTTAGTTGCTGATTAGTCTTCTTCGTTCAGATCTTTCTAGTCTGCTAGGCATTATTTCCCCCCCACACTTGTAATTGGAAAACGCTGTGCACTTGTACAAAGGAAGACTATTCCTGTTTTTGATATGCTTTATCAAATCATTTTAATACTATGTGCTTCCACCTTTAGCTCTCTGCATTAAAGTTAGCTTCATTTTTGCATCAGACTTTTATTTAAGTGCAGACCTGACTTTGTTCAAATAGATAATGCTCAGGGACTGAGCAGAAAGCCGGTTCAACGACTGAACATTTCCCAACACTTTCTCGTGGTATTAGAATGTACATTCTTCCCCATGGCTGCTGAGCTGATCCTGGCCAGGTGGTGAGAGGTGAGGCCAGAGCGTGCCCTTGATCTGGGGAAGGCTCTGTCTGTGAACAGGTTTACAGAAATCCTGAAGCAAAGAAGGTGGGCTGGTTGTTTGTCAGAACAGTGTATTATGTGGACGCTTACAGAGCTCAGCCTCGGCTTCCATCAGACGGGAGACTGCGTTGTGCGTAAGGGGAAAAGCCTTGCCTGTGGGCTCCGAGGGTGCGCAGGCCTGCCGCTCTCTCCGTTCTTTGGGCCTCGGTCTCCTCCTCCATTGTGTGGCAGTCAGGGTCCCTTTCTAGCCCCGATTATAGAAGGAGCTGCTCTTTCTATGAGCTGCTTGGCCTGATGGCTCAGCTGCAAGTCTTGGTAGAAGCCTGAGGTGCTAGTAGGGACACAAGTTGGCCATTGATGCTAACCAGAGAGGAAGGGTGGGGAAAGGAAAGGCTAGGAGAACCTAGAAGACTGAGGAGTCTGCTCCCCATGATTGTGGGACCAGCAAGGGGGGGTGCTGGGGAGAGCCTCGGCCCATGTGGGGATTTGTTGAGCTTGACTTACGTATATTTGTTACATGGGTTTGTTTTTCTTTCTTTCTTTTTTTTTTTCCAGGAGGGAAGGGAATGTGGGAGGGAGAGAAGAAATTAAGACTTATTAATTGTAAATAAATGTAATTTTTTAAAAAAACAACAACTAACTGCAGTTATTTGTGGAATGGTGTTGAGTAAAGGAGGCTAGATGTTTTCTCTTTCCTCTTTTAAAAGGCCACTGCAGAAGCCAACAATTTAGCCGCTGCGGCGTCTGCCAAGGACATGTATTATAACAACATGGAAAAGGTAGGTGGGGTCTGGAGAGCAGCCCTGCTGGGGCTGTTCGCAGTCCTGGGACAGGCTGGGTGACCTTTCTCCAGAGGCACCCGTTTTCCTCCTCAGTAAAGCAGGGAGAATCATGCTTGGGGCCATGGTGGGGAAATGGGCTGTAATCCTCCCAACTCTCCCAGGAGTAAGCTTGGTTTGAAGCGACAGTGTTCATGCTAGCCATCCCCACACATGGCCTCAGCAAGCCGGTGCCACGTCTACGCGATTTGCTGGTGCCCCCCCCCCCACGACAGTGAAGCTGCCCCCCCCCGCTCAAACCCCGTGCCACAGGGCTCCGCCTCTTCCCCAAAGGTCTGCGGAGGGGAGAAGCCCTACCTGGCGTCTGAAGTGCTGCGGGAGAAGCATGAAGAGTTCCGGAAGCAGGCCATCGAGCAGTTTAAGAAGTGCAAGAAGATGGGGGGCAAAGAATTCAGCCTGCGGTACCAGAGTGAGCTGGACCGGGACATCGAGGGGCTGTACGGCCACTTCATCAAGCACAACAGCAGCAAGAACGTGTTCAGCTCCTTCCGCACACCGGCCGTGCTCTTCAGCTTCATCCTCGCGCTCTACCTGGGCTCAGGCTTTGCAGGCTTCCTGGGCCTCACCATGGTCACCCAGCTCTGCAACTGCTTGCTGGGCCTGCTGCTCATCTCCCTGCTGACCTGGGGCTACATCCGCTACTCTGGCCAGTACCGCGAGCTGGGCGGTGCCATCGACTCCAGCGCGGCCTTTGTCCTGGAGCGGGTGAGCGGCGCCCCTCCCCCTTCCCCTCTCCTTTCTCCGAATGAGGCTTTGTAATACATAGAGTCAGATCCAAGGGGTCACAAAGGAAACCAGTTATAGGAGATCATGAGGTATTGTGTCCCATCCCTGTTCACAGACCCTAAAATCTACCCATGGACGAGGCCCCAGGCCAGGAGCCTGCTCTTTGTGAAGGCCACTTTTCTCCCTCGAGCATCGCTTTAGGAAGGTCAGATGCCACAACAGACGTTCACTGAAGAAGCTTCCCTTAGTTTTGAGTCACCATTGGGTTAGCTGAGGGACGGGGTGATGGCCTCTACCTGTCCTCAGGGGGAGTCCCCTGCACCAAGACCCCCTCTCCATGAGTCCTAACAGCTGGGCCACACCCACGAACTCCACCCTCTCACTAATGACACAGGGAGTGACAGTGACTGGGCTGTTTCTGTCTTTACCAGTGAGTGGCATTGGGGTTAGTGGGGATAACCTGCTTCTCCCCAGCCCCCTCCTCTGGGGCTCAGGGGGGTGCTGTGTCGGTGTTCAACTGTCCTCAGGCTCAGGCACTAGCTCTAGCAGCCTTAACAAGGTGGCCGGCTGACCTGGGGCCCTGCTAGACACCCACTGGCTAGGTTTTAGACTTGGGGGAGTGGGCTGTGTGTGCGTATGTGTGTATACGCTCCCTTGCCTCCCAACTTGCAGGTGAGGGGGAAGCCAAGCACAGATGGAGCATTCCCTCGCCTCCACTTGCCTCCACGGGCAGCTTCATTCTCTGCCGTCTTTGGAGCCCCTGCTACTCCCTTGGGGACTATCCCCCCCCCACCCCCATCTACCTCAGGTTCCACAGAGCAAACTGCAGCCATTGAGACATCCAGCTATCTATGGGAGTTGGTGCCGGAGGCCACCTAGGGCTGGAGGAGTCTTTATCGCGTGTGTCTGTGGTCCTCTGGCCTTGGTGATTTGGGAGATGGTGGGCTCTCTTCAGGGATGTGGGGCAGAGAGCTGGTGTCACTAGGGGCATGACAGATTCTCCCCAGCCCAGAGATGGCCTTGGCACTTGAATTTGAGGATGGCACCAACTGGGTCCAGAACATTGTATTCTCCTGACTGTGTGTTGTCCTAGTCTTGTGAATTCATGTTATGTTACTGGACTTTTGCAGGCAACCTCTTGCATGAATAATTCCACTCAGGAGGCTGTCGGGGAAGAGGGGTCCAGGAGACCATCTGTGGATAAAAAGTGCCAATAAAGTGGGGAGCTGGCCCAAGCGTGCCTAGCCACCACGGTCGAGATGGGCCTTCTGCAGCATCCCAAGTATGCCTGAGTGGAACATCATCCTGGAAGACTCGAAATACAATGCTGTAATAAATGGAGCAGACATTTGCCTGTGGCTTAAACCCACCTCCAGGACTGTTGGGAGCCTTTCTTTCCTTTCTGGTAGAGGTCCAAGCCCATGTCTTGTTCTTGTATTATTTCGCTTTCCTTTTTTGCACTTTATGGGGGGGTGGGAGGAGGCTGGAGGGGAAAAGGACAAAGCATCCCGAAAAGTCCTTTTTGTACCACAGAGTGCCTTTTTGATCTGGACTCATGCTAGCCGTGGACACAATGGGGAGGATGGAGGACCAGGGGAAGGAATGGGCAGTTTGTGTGGCCACATGTCACCTCTGGGAGCTCTCACCCTGCTTGTAAAAGGCGTCCTGAGCCCAGAGGCTCTCTCTCCAAGAGAGTTTGAAAGGAGGCTCCTTGTAATGCTGGAGACTCTTGTGTGCCTCTGCCCTGTGGGTCACAACCAGACTCCAGAGTGTAGGACCCCTCCCCTGGGTGGGGCAGATACAGCATCTTCCTTGGGGAATGGGAGGCAGGGACCTTGGCCCTGGGTGCTCAGGAATCTCTGCCTTCCTGGTTTTCACCAGTGGCTTCCCTGTAGCCTAGAATGTTGGAGGGAATGTGGGCCGGCAGATGACGAAGGGAACAAAATCAAGAAAGAAACTGAGTGACCCCTGACAAGTCCCTTGACCTTGTGCCTTGGTCAGATTAACTGTGTCTCATGTATTCTAAATATGAGCTTTAGTTTTAAGTTTTTAATTTTACTTTAAAATAACCTCGTTCTCACAGAAGCTGCATTAGAAGAGCAGATCTTTCTGGAGGACCGGGGGAAAATCTTACGCAGTAGAGCTGCCTTCCTTCCGATGGTGCCTTGGTGGTTAGAGGCTCAGCAGGGATTCATTCCATTGTGTCTGTGGGACCAAACGAGCAGCAGCTGCCACCATCCCTACCCCCATTCCCTCCTGGGCCTGTGGAGGCATGTGATTAAGTGAGACCAGTGGCTCAGACTCGTTCGGCACGTCTCCCTTGGAGATCAGGAAGTCGCTTTTCAGAGAGCGGGGCTGGCTAGGCACGGTCTTACATGTATGATGGGAAGTAGTGTGGTCGGGTCAGCTGGCTATTTCTCTACTTCATCATGCCTGATTTTAAAACTTGTTTTCTTGGAGGTGCCTCTGTGTACTTAGGACACGTGAGCTTTAAGTTTCCAAAATAAATTAGAGCATTGCATTTTGGGGAGCTTGGGGTAACAAGAGACTGTTTTGTACATGTGAGTTCTGAATGTGAAGCTCAGGCAGATGGAGTCTCTGGTCACGTAGTCCTCCTGTCTGGATTTCTGGATCCTGTCTCTCAGGGTTTTGTATCCTCTTAATCCAGGATTAATTCTAAGTATATTTTCTTACACGTAATATTTTCTTTCTTCCAAAATCAAACGTGGTCACATATGTAGAATGCTTTGTAAATGGTAGCTGCTGCTGGCTTGCTCACTGGCTTGCCACCTTGCAAGGTGATTCAGTTGGCATAAAAATGGGGTGCCAGTTTGCTTTCAGACGGGGATCTCAAACCTTTGCTCTTACCAAAGGGATTTCAAGCGAGTGGCTTCTGAAATGTGTGCGCATCTCCCAGGAATGCCTCATTTGGGTAAATTGTCCTTCTGCAGTTTGTTAGACTTGGGAGACGCTTTCCCCACCACATAGTCCAGTCTCCTGCTGGTGGGTTCCTGGTGCCTAGGCCAGTCCTAAGGCCCCAGAGCAAATGTAAGGTCTTTGGTCCACTTGGTGCTGCCTTTCCGGAAATGTGTCGCCTTTACTTGTGGACAGCAGGCTTGGGCAGAGTGTATAATGATCTGGTCCCTGGCCCTGGAACCGGTGGACTCATTACTTTACATTTGATCTTTTTTGCATTCTCCCAGCTGGATGTGGAGGGCCTTACAGTAGTTTCTAATCGGTTGGCTTTCACGGGCCTCCTCCAGCTCAGCCTTCAGGCCCGTGTTTGCCCTGTTATGCACATCTCCTTCAGCACATTCCTTTGATAGGTTGTCAAGCACAAATGGCAGATGCTGTGTGTCCCAAGCCTCGATCACCCCAGAGAGGTGACAGATGGATTTCAGTAAACGTCCATCTCTCTTAGACAGAGTTTCCTTTGACACTGACGTCACCTCTGGTGTAAAAATTAAGAGGGATACAGGAAGTAGTGCCGGACTCATGATTGTGTCTTGAGAACTGGGACCTGTTTTGGTTGAAGAGCTGACGGCCGTCCGTCTGTGCCGTAGGGCTTGTGATATCATGGTCTAGCTTGCACATTGTACAATTGCCTGCGTATATTTGCTGCTTTGCTGCTTTTCTCCTTTTCTTCTTTCTCTCTATTCACAGGAAGTAAAATGCTCTCAGCAGACAAAAGGGCCAAGCAGAGAATAAAAGCTGCCCTGTATTGGCAGCCTCGTGTTTCTTTGGCAGGCCATGCTTAGGACTTGGCTCCTTTGCTAACTTAGGAGAACAGTCTCCTGAAGAGAGGCTGGCACAGCCAGGTTTGTTTTCTCTTGGACACACACATTGACCCATGTCAGGCAGAAGCAAGCTTGGATTTTTAAAATATTTTTTAAAGAATCTTTTTGAATTAACGTAGTTTGTAGTATAGCTCGTACTCTGACATTCAGTTATCTGATGGCAGAAAAATAACAACTTGGTTTAGACAGAAAGGAGCCCCATGGCCGGTGTTGGTTCTGGAGGTGGCAGCTGCTGCCCTCAGATTCTGGCTCCGTGACTGCCTCGAAGAGGGGGACCCTCATCCCCGCCCCTCACATTCCACAAGGGCATTCGCTGAACCTCAGAGTTTCACATTTTGAAACAGGAACTTTTTGTTTGACCTTCAGAGTGATCTAGCACATAAGATGATGGGTACAATTGGGAGCTAAGAGTAGGGTGAAATATTCCAATTACCTTTTATGGGGCCTGGGGAGCAGAGAAGTTGGATCGGAATAGGTGTCGTAGTGCCAAATCTAAGCAGGTGATAACCAGGGTTAGTTTGTCCCTTCCTGTGGATGGGGGCAGCCTAGGAGATATGGACTCCCACCCACCTGTGTCCTGGGCCGGACTGGGAGGAGGTCATAGCTCCTTTTGTCTCGTGTCCAGTCACTAACTGATGGGAATAGAAGTGGGAAGTTGGTAAAATCAACTTGGGCCACTGTTTTTGTTTTTGAATTAGAAAACAAGCTGGATCCTCCTACTCTGATTGCTCAAACACTGAAAATGTTCCGCCAGCTAGGTGGTGCAGTGCCCTGGAGTCAGGAGGAACTGGGTTCAAATTCGGCCTCAGACACTTGACACTTAATAGCTGTGTGACCCTGGGCAAGTCACTTAAACCCATTGCCCCAAACAGAAAGTAAGAAATTTTCAGAATCAGGGATAGGAGAGGTCTGCGACCTGGTGTCCTCCTGGGAGCTGGACCCTGCCGGACCAAGATTACCGTTTTATTGCCCATGTGGGAATTCCATGTGCCAAAGCAAAGGATGTGCTTCATCTGATGCCCAAAGATTCCCGATTTAGGTGCTGGTCACCTGGCAACACCAAGGGGCTTCCGCTCAAACCTCTGTCGTGTTTGTACTGGGGAGTCTCCCACGGGTTCTGCAGGTATCTTTGGTCAAGCACAGACTCCTACCCAGCTGTTTGTCTGTTTTTCAGTTTGTTTGCCCAGAAAAGTGCAATCAGATGAGTGTGTCTCCATCCATCCGTATGCTGGACTCTTAACAGAAGCATGCATGTCTCTATATCACAGATGCTGAGAGCTGTGAGATTATGTAATGGAATAAAGATGGCAACCTGTTTTCATCTGCATTCTGCCTTTTCTTCCCTCTGGGAGACTTCTGAAGCAAACGGGACCCCGAGGGAGGTGCTGGAGCTTACAGACCAGCAAGCCCTGGGGTGGGGCTGGCCCTGGTGAAAGGCCCTTTCCCCTCAGTGGGCCTCAGTTTCCCCATCTGTAAAAGCAAGGGCTCGGATCATGGGATTTCTTAGGTCGTTTCTAGCTCTTCAGCCTAAGAAACTTGGATGACCCACCTTCCTCTTCACCTGACACGTTACTGAGCTGACACAGTGGTCACACAGGCTGTGGGGTGTTGTTGAAAAAGAGGAAACCAAGCCCTTGGGAGTCCCTTTGGATCCTGTAGAGAAGGGCCCTTCGGCCCTAGGCAGGGACAGAAGACTAAAGTCCATACGTTGTTCTCTTGGTTGAACATGCTATTGGCTTGGGGGTGGGGGGTGCGTTTTAGTGGTGGCAGGAGTGGGAAAATGTGGGGAGGTTGGACAAAACTTTTGAGGGGCTTGACCCAAAAGTCGGAGGGCCAAGAACTCTCTTCCACTTTTTTGTCCCCAAACTTTCAGGCTAGGTTCAGGATCCCAGGGTCCTTAGTGCTTCCAGAGGGGGGCAAGGTGCCCATGGAGACTACCCCACCCTCCACAGCTGGGAGAAGTCAGTGGGATAGTCCCCTAAAAGCAGCTCCCTGCCTCTGACCAGCGCTGTGGATACAAGCAAATGTGGATGACTAAGGTGCTGGCAAGAGGTCTCCAGAGCTTTTCTGTGCCCGATGAAAAGGGCAAAGTGCTGGGTATTCATTCATCTTTCCTACCTGGCTGGCAGAAAGCATGTGGCTGCATTGTCCTATACTTAGCCTGCCTGTAGCGAGAGACAGCCGAGGTTCTGAGAGACACCCCGCCCCACAGTGTAGGTCTGCCCGCCCACACCTGCTTCTGGTTCTTTTTAAGCTACAGGAAGACTTGGGAACTGAAGGAGGATCATGGTGATGTGCAAAGGCAACTGGAGGGTCAGAGACCTCCGCTTTAAGTGTGTGAGCCAGCCCTTTCTCTGGCTGCCATTTCCTCCAGGGTCAGACTAGATGCTTTCTGCTCTCCTGAAGCCCACATTTCTAGGTTGCTTCCAGCCCTGATGTGTTAGGATCTGTGATATCCTTCAAGGACAGAGTCAAGCAGTTCCCTCCACTGCTCAAGAGGCTTCTGTGGCTCTCTGTTGCTTCTAACATAAAATACAAACCCTGGTCTTGCATTTTAAAAAAAGCCTTTATGACTGGATTCCGACTCAGCCTAACGTAGGCTCCACGTTGGGAAAAGACTTCCTCTGAATTAGAGCCGCCCACGAGTGGAAAGGGCTGCCTCATGTGGTAAGCTCCACTTCCCCAGAGGTCTTCAAGCCAAGGCCAGATGACCACTTGTCAGGGCTGTTACACAGGGGGCTTCTGAAGGCATGAGATGAAAGGGGACGGGAGTGGGGGTGTCCTTAGAGCACAGCTCAGATTCACTGAGGAGCCCAGCAAGTCTTTAGTGCAGGACAACCTTGGGAGCTGCGTAGCCCCGAGGGGCTGTAAGGCGGAACCTTGGGTCGGCACACAGTGTTGTCCAGACACCACGTGGGCTGTGCCAGCCCAGAGCCAACCCCGTCCACGGCCAGCTCCAGAGGATGGGAGCCACAGCTCCAGGGCTAACTGGGAAATTTCCAGACTAGCTAACTTCCCAAGCCCAAGAGCCCTTTCCTGGGCCAGAGCCGGGGTCCCCTGGTCCCCCAGCACTCCCTTCTTCCCTCCTAGGGTACCGGGAGGCTGCCTGTGCCCCACACTGCCGCCGAGGTGAGTTTTGATTTAGCTGCCGAAGCTGCTCTCCTTGGTCTGGGTGGAGTCAGGATGACCTCAGCCGCAGCTGTGCGCTGGGGCCTCCTGTTGACTTCCTGCCTGCTGGAGTTATTCTTGCCGGTCGGGGATCATCAGTCAGGGCCCAGGAAGCACAGGTGGGATGGCCAAGATGGGGTGCTCCCTGCCCTGTGTGTGTGTGTGTGTGTGTGTGTGTGTGTGTGTGTGTGTGCGCGTGCCGGCTTTAGATGATTGATCTTTGCACTGGAACAGGCAGGGGAGAGGGGCAGGACAGGTCACCTGTGGTATCACTGCCTGCTACCCAGTGGTGTCCAGCCCCACCAAGGGCAGTGCCCAACTCTCCCATCTCCCCACCCGTGGAGGGAGGCATCCTTGGGCAGGGAGCACTTTCTGGAAGAATGTGGCGAGGTCAGCAGGTTTCCATTGGCACAGGCAGCTGTTATCAGTGAGCCCCGAGCGTGCTGGGTGGGAGCCTCAGCCCTCTGCCCTTCAGGTATCCAAGCTCCTCTCCTCTCAGTGGTCCATCCAGTCTAATCGAGGCTTGCTTTGCTCACTACCAAATGGGATAGGAGGGGGAGGGATGGAGAACAGCTGTCCTAAGGGGTTCTCTGGCAAACCTTGAGCCTCCCCCAGTGCAGAGCAGCAGGGTCCAGCCGTCAGCTCCCCCCATGACCACCAGCACCTCCTGTTCTTGCTTCCTGTTATCGGCCCTAGAAATTCTTGCCATTTCTGTCTTAGGAATCCCCCAACGCCAAGGAAGTGACAACCCGGACCCTGAGGGAGGACAGAGATGCAAGTAGGTACTTTTAAAGCCTTTGTAAGGATTGTACAGTAAGGATTTGTGTTTGGCACTAGTAGGCGGGGACTAGAGGGGAGAGGGGCTTGGTAAACCCTAAGGCCAAGACCCTCTTTAGGGTCCTTGGCCCCATTTGGAGCGTGAGACCAGTCTCTCTTCATTTTGTTTACCAGGCAGGCACTCACTGGTGGCTTCCCAACAAGACACAGAATCTGCAGATTATTCAAAGGAAGGATCTGGAATTCATTTGTGGGGTGGTTTGGAGCACAATGGGGGCATAGAAAGGAACTGGATAAAGATAGTGCTAGCAGGGAAATAGAACCTTCCTTTAGGAAGAACACAGAATGGGTGTGCAGCAGCCAGAACAAGGGCTGGGCTTCATGGAATTTGGAGAAGAACTGGTTGGGGAAACAGACGAGCCTCACACCAAATGGCCCGGCAGCTAATCTGGACAGTCCTGGTAACTCACTTAGTGACCAGAACTTCAGATCCCTCCAGGTTTTGATTCTGCTTTCCCTGAGGACTAAAAGAGAGTGAAACTTGAGCTTAAAGAAAGGACTTTCATTTTCATGAATACAACACAGGGTATGAGAGCTGGGAGGTGTGGGTGAAACTTGGATCACAATGTCAGAGCTGGGGGTCTTAGAGCACGGGATGTCAGAGGTGGGGGTTTTTAGAGCACGGGATGTCAGAGGTGGGGGGTCTCAGAGCACGGGATGTCAGAGGTGGGGGTTTTTAGAGCACGGGATGTCAGAGGTGGGGGGGTCTCAGAGCACAGGATGTCAGAGGTGGGGGGGGTCTCAGAGCACGGGATGTCAGAGGTGGGGGGTCTTAGAGCATAGGATGTTAGAGGTGGGGGGGTCCTGGAGTACAGGATGTCAGAAGTGGGGGGTCTCTGAGCACAGGATATCAGAGGTGGGGGGGTCCTGGAGTACAGGATGTCAGAAGTGTGGGGTCTTAGGGCATGGGACGCCAGAGGTGGGGGGGTCTTAGAACAGGATGTCAAAGGTGGGGGAGTCCTGGAGCACAGGATGTCAGAATTTCCATCATGTCCTTAGGCCTCTGCTACTATAAAGAAAGGAGGGTGTTTTCTTATCTCTCCTTCCCATTCTACTGATTTGTGAGGGTGAGGTCCTGTAAAGCCCCAGAGGACAGCAGAAAAGATAGTATGTCCAAGAACTTACTGTCTGATTGAGAGGACAAGTCGCAAAGGGATCATTCCCACCAGAGGCAAAGTGCAGCATGTACTGTAGGACAGAGATAACTTTGGTGCTGGGGAAGGTTCTGCCAGGCAGCCATGGCAGCAGCCGGACTGGGGAGGTGGGGTGCTGCAGAGGACCTCCAAAAACATGGAGTAGACTTGGTCCACATAGGGGAGTCTGAGGGAACCAGGAGGGCTCCCTGCCCAAACATGTCAGGATGTAGCATCCTGAGGAATTTCATTGTTAGAGATTCATTCCTTTGACTTGAGACTATGTGCCCCTGATAAGCAAATTCCTGGGAAAGGGATGAGAATTTAAGCCACCATTGGTTGTGATACCTTACTGACAATTAGCTGAATTAGTTTGCCTTCCTGTTGTGGATTCACTTATACCCTATATGAGTTCAAGATAGGGCATGTTCTTTGATTGAGGGAAGTAGAGAAAGATGCCAATTGAGGGCTTGGGTCATCTTCTGCTTGGGGGAATTGGTAGGAATTGGGCAAACATTGCATCACATCCCAAAAGACAGTGTAAGGTCAAAGAAAAATGTTGCCTCCCTCACAGTTTTGCTTAGCGATGGCCAGGTCTGACCTTCAGTTGCTTTCCCCATGGTTACCATGGAGGGCCTTCCAGGCCTGTGCTTGCACTACCACAGCAGTAGGGGAAGGGTGATACCCTGGATCCTCTTTGTTTGGATCAGAGACAAGATAGCAGAGGAGGGAGAGGACAGCACAACACAACAGAATTCTGGGTAACGAGGCTCTCCTCTCTGTGTGCCTGCTTTCGTATCACCCCCAGTGGCAAGTCTGGGCCCATGCCCTGATATAAGAAGGAGGGGACAGATGATAGCTGCCCTGGTGCTCGGCTCCAAGGAAGCTGGATGTCCATCACTGGGAGGGCCTGGCACGTGGCCTCCACTCGATCAGCTTTATGCTCCCTAAAGGGGTTGATTTAAACTCCAGCTTCTCTAAAGGGGGAAAAATCCCCAACCCTCTGATTTCTGGAACTGCCCATGTCTACAGTGTCTTTCTGCTTTTGGGATGATCAGGGGCAGTTTCCCCAGCAAGTTGGATGTGGTAAGAATAGAGAAGCGAGAGCAAGGATTTGACCAGTTTCCATTCCAAAGTCAATGAGGCAGTGATTTTCTGGAAGCCTAGAGCAGCACCATTTTCCACTTTA